CTTGGCCCAGCCAGGTTTCAGTTATACATGCCAGGTCTAACCCCTCATCTAATATTAAGTCCCAGACGAGGGGAGCCTTATTCACAACAGACCTGGCATTCAGCAGCAGCAACCTGAGACCAGGGCCCTGATCATCTCTGCCACCAGGTTCTTGGGGTGAGCCTGAAGGGCCGGAACAAGGAATCGCTGTAATGTAGCGAGTCCTTCTTCCCCGGTAATGGCTAGCCCTAGAGCTCCTGTCATATCTGCCCCTCCCAGTCATAACCGATATGCTCCGACCCTCTCCCCCCCGTAGACCCCCCGTCCCATGCTCCCCATTCTTCCCGGCAGGCCACACACACCCTTCACTCTGGGGCGAGTCCAGGCCCCCATCCACTTCTGCTTCTGCACTCAGTGGAGGGGGCTCCAGGTCGCACCCCCAGACCTATCATGTTCACTCAACAAACATTCAAGGAGGGTCAAGCAGACCTTCCTTCTATGTTCATAAAAGCTTTTTGCATCAAATGTTACAACACCATGTAAGAAGATAGATGAGAAATGGAAATGTATAAATATAGTATACAGTATATGTCAGATGAAAACAGTGTTCTTAAATTACAGCACCACTTTTTAGGTACTAATGCTAATTCCTACATATTGGCACAACCAACCTTCTTGCAAAGTTCTTACATTTTTAATTCTTACAAGTTAATACTCTATCTCATAAATGAATTCTAAATGTGCAGAGTGGTCATTGCTATAGTTCAGAGAACAATGAATGCATAGTCATGGGTGATTATTTTCTTAGAATGTACTTTCTTACCTTTGCATGTTTTTACCTCAGCATCAGAGATGGGTTGCTGCCGGTTTGGCCTGGTTCAGCTGAACTGGTAGTGGCGGCGGCGGGACGCTCCACCCACCGCTCGCGAGCATGAACGAACTGGTAGTAAACCAGTTAGCAACCCACCACTGCTCAGCATACTGTAGTCACTCTGTTTTTATATATGTTGCTATAATTAGGTAATGTCTATAACAATTTTAAATTTAACTTAAAATAAAATGCACAATGTGGGATGTTTATTCTATTAAAAAAAGCCTTGCATAACGTAAAGCAGGAAAAAATTTTTTTTTTAAAAAAAACTGAATTCCTTTTTTAAGCTTGCTGATACTGGATAACTCAACCAAACTAACATTTTTCATTCTGTATCAAGTGTCTTCTAATTGCTAGGACATAATACATGTACATACATACATATTCTTCCCAATGGAAAGGAGCATGACAAGAAATTATTCTTTGCTTTAAGGGTTTCATAGTGATTAAATTTTGAGGGAAACTGGATTACAACAACATTGTGAACGTGACAACAGATCTAGCATATTTTCCTATATGTGATAGGAATGTTTCTCTAGCACAATTTTTCAAGGCAAGCTATTTTTTATTGTGTTGCAGATGGAATGGGGACAGATTGCAGCTAGGATGGCTTGTCTTGTAGTAGACATATTATTTGAATCATGTTTTCTAATTATTTCAATTCACTTCTCTTAGGTATGGAATTTTAAAACAACTCTTAGGCCTTCAGTGATAGAAATTTGAAAAAAAATAGAGTGGCGATCTTCACATAAAATACTGTTTTATTATAAAAGAATGGTGGATGACAAAAGGATCTGTCACACACATCTTCAGCTTTGTGCACTTTTAAAGGCAGCTCAATACAGCAGAGGCCAACAGATGATAGAATGACTGTAGAAATAATCATTAAAAGAGTCCCAATTTCACGGAGCCATTTCTGCATAGCTTGATTAATTCCTTTTCTAGAAGTTCAATTGTTTCTTTTTTTATCTGAAAAAAAAAATTATCAGCATTACAATTAATGCACTTTTTTTTTACAAATTTAAGCATACAGAGCTAAAAACTTAGTTCTCCCATTTTAATATTTGCATAATAGCTCCTATAAATATTTAGATATGAAGTACTAAGCGTTAGTTAGCATGAATAATAGATCAAACCTGAAGCTTATCATTTACTAATTAACTATTCTAAGCCAGTAGCTTAAGTATACCATTATTTAAATTTCTCTGTAAAAATTCTTGAACTTGTTTGAAAAGAAAATTTAATATACTTGTTTGAAGTTTTAGAAAATCTTTTCTAATTCTAACGGGGTGAGTAACAATTATGCATTATCATGAAAGAATTTCTAGTGGAGTTACTGCTATACTTTGCTGCTCATTAAAAAGAATTTGGTGACAAAATAAGAAAGTGTCACCTGGGCCAGCTAAATGCTCTGTCCCAGGTTGTGTTTGTGAACTTGTTAGGTCTTGTCCCAGCGACAGGAGACAGAGTCTTGACGGGAAAAGATGGGTAAGTGAGGGCCTGGGTGGGGAAGATCCTTTGAAGTGATGTATCTTGGGAGGAAGTGCTACCACTGAAGAGGCAAGTCTGTATCTGAGTGTCCTCTTGGATTTATGGCTCCTAACAGAACAGAAAGGTGGTGGGATTCAAAAAAAATTACTACCAGTTCTATGGGCATGGCTTGGTGGGCATGGCGTGGCTTGGTGGGTGTGGCAGGGAAAGATACTGTAAAATCTCCATTCCCACTCCACTCCAGGGGAAGGTTACTGCAAAATCCCCATTTCCTCCAGATCAGCTGGGACTCGGGAGGCAGAGAATAGATTGGGGGGGGGGGCAGACACAGGTGGTAACTACTCAAAGTTTCCGCTACCGGTTCTCCAGAAGTGGTCAGAACCTGCTGAATACCACCTCTGCAGCAATCTAATATGCCATTTGCAGCCCTACTTTTATGCAAGAACCTTTGTACTACAACTCATGCCCTTATCATTACTTCCTTAGATTACTATGATATGTGCCACAGCTGGCTTCATTTAAAGACCATTTGGAAGCTTTACTTGGTCTAATATGCAGCAGTTCAGGTACCTAGTGGTGTTCACTAATGGAAGCCCATTACTTGTGTGCCATGGACCCTGCATTGACTTTCTATAAGAGTCTGGGTACAATTTCAAGTATTGGTTTTACCTATAGAGTATAACTTAGCATCAGTTTACATTCAGAATTAGCCCGACTGCTTTGAGGAATCTCAAATTTGGAAGAGCTCAGAGGTACTGCTTTTCTGAAGAATTCCAATCCTCTGAAATAGCCTCCCATTAAAGTTTCAACCTTGACAAAGGCTGTTTTGGAATTTGAGGAATGACACCTGGTTTTGGATTTTTTTTTAGATTGTTAGGATTTTATTACTTTTATTTTGCTGTGGATGGTTTCCATATTCCATAAAGCTGATGAGTTCTGTGAGATTGCAGTAAAGAATAAATGTAATAAATAAAGTCAGTGTAACTTTTTAAAAATGAAAAACATTCAGAAAAAAGGAAAAGCCACAGTTATTGCTATAAAGACATATACCTGCAGATACCAGCATCTTTTAAATAGATGTTTTATTAACTGCAGGAGCTAATACGTAAATTTCACATTTGAAAAAAGGCCACCAGGGGGCATATTCTCTCTTTAGTTTTTGACATTTTTTAGACCCTACTAGATAATTACCAATATTATAGGAAAAGAGTTTTATACATGTTTGTATATAAATGAGGGATTTTTCAATTTATTCTTTATATTACTGTTCTTTAAAAATAATTAAATTTATGAAATTGTATTCATTAATTGCAATAATAATAATGTAACCTTTTTAGTTATCCTGCATGGAAACTTTATATTCAGATGTCTTGCTTTATCACTGAAGTTTATTTCATAAGTACAAGATTAGTTAGTGTAAGTTTTAAAGATTTTTTAAAACTCACTCTTTAGATAGAAGTTAGGATTTGAAAATCAGAAATCCTTTTCAGAAAATCAGCCAAAAATTTTCTAAATGATTTGTAGATCTCTTTTATGATCAGCTATGATCTACAATCTGTACAATTTGAGGAATAAGGAACTAAAGTATCACTATTCTTGATGAGTTCAGATCAGATTGTTCTTATATAGGCTTTCCCTCAAAATCTGGCCCCTTACTTTTAATATCCTAGAGATCTTGTACAGACTTAATTTTTTTTGTAAATCACTTGTGGCTTGAGATCCTTATGTTGCAACACTATATTTATTTTGACTTTTTTTTAAAAAAAATAACTTTTTTATTAGTTAGATTTAATTTAAATTATGGTAATTTGATTGATTCAAGATAAAAACTTGCTATTTGCCAGAAGTTGTGAGAAGTGGGTTTGGTGCAAATGTTGATGACGATAAGTCAATTGATTATCAGTCAATGAACAACTGGCTGCAACTTTTGTTATGGAGACTATAAATGATAAATATAGGTTTGTGTTTCTATTATATATGAAATAGGCTTATAATCTGTAACATAAATTATAAACAAAGCAAATTTTTAGTTTGGAATGTATAAAATCCTACCTCCCTTCTCTTAAAAATCTACAGCAGGGGTGTCAAACTTGCAGCCCGCAAGCCAGATGCGTCACACACTGGCCACTCCCACACCCAGTTTAGTGAAGGGGGGAAAAGTCACAATGTGTCATGTGACAATGCCGTGACGATGCAAGTTTGACAGACCTGTCTAGAGTGTAAACTATAAAATGTCACCATCAGTACCCAACAAGCAACATGCACAGAGACAAAAGTTTGTACCTCTGGGATGTCAATTAATCTTCTTAATTTCTGATCCCTATGGTTCCAGTCTAAGATAAAATATTTCAAGGAAGTCAGCTTAAGGCCTTCTGAGGAGAAAGGAAAAGATGGCTATTGAGTACAGAACATCTGCATGCCAAAAAGATTCTTAGAGTTGTTTTGTTGCTGTTCAATTCCAAGGCAGGTAGCTTTTGCACATTTAGGCCTGTCCATCTCAGCTGTTTAAAGCAAAGATCCTGTTCAGCTTCTGAGTATGAAATATTTCCATTTTGACACAAAAGGAGGAAAAGCCAGGACTTTTAGCCTTAAGGAAGGCTAAAAAGGTGGAGGCCTGCAAAATTTTAGGGGGAGGAGTCTTCCATAGGACAGGGGTTAAGACAGAAAAACCGTGCTTCCTGGTTCCAATCAGAAGACAATATTTGAGGGAAGGGACCAGGTAGATGTCCTGGTCCCACAGGTAGCCTGGCCATTCGTTATACAGGGCTTTAAAGGTGATGTCCAGCATCTTGAATAGTATCTGGAAAGAAATTGGCACTCAGTGTAGCTTACGCAACAGAAACGTTAAATGAATAAACCTAGGGGTTCCATTACTGTATGCGCTGCTATATTCTGCGCCAGTTAAAGTTTCTGGATGGTCTTCTAGAATGGCATTAAGTGATACAATTGCGCACACAAAAGAGACAGTGTCATGACACTGCTTTAATGAATTTACTTAACACGTTCTGTGCAGCAGCTTCTATACCCATTTTATTTCAGTAATTCTTAAGTTTTTTAAAATTTTTCCTATGATTGGAATAGTTTAAAAATAATTATATTTCATTTTCACATAACCAAGTTATGCTGTAACTTTCTACCTTGTTGTATTAGTGCTTTTATCCTTCCAGGTGTCCCAACTCCCACATGAATAACATCTTTTTCCAGCATTTGCATTTGTTCTTGTATCTATTTCAAGAAAGCAGAAGGGGGAAAAGGTAGATCAGGAGACAAGAATCGTAATTATAACCATTTATTCTTTTCTTTAAAAGGCTCAAAGGTGTACTACATGACAATTCTATATAGAAATTCAACATGGTTACATGGAAAAACAATACAGCAAAGCTCAAAATCTATAATTGAGCCAGATCTACTTTATGGGATGGCCCAATGGCTTAGTAGTTGCTGATTTTTCATGTCTGAACGCAACTTGTTTCTCAGTTTCCCTGCTCCAAAGATCTTACACTATGCAGAATGTTGTACATACGTTGTCTTTTTTCAAATGTATGCTTCCTTGGCAAATGAAATATTATGTATTTTTTTAGAGCTTAGATGTTCTATGCCATTCATCAAGCAATTATGGTAATGTGCGCACTCCTTAAAAAAAGAAATAGGAGGGAAGGAAGGAAGGAAGGAAGACTATATACATATTGTCAGGTTCCGGTTTGGAAAACAAGGAATAAACAAACCAACACGTAATTTGTACATTGTATTGTTCTTCTTGACATACTGGCACGTTCTAACCATCACCCAGTGAAACACCAGAGAGAATGGAATTCAGAGCTACTGCTGAGTACTCCCTTCCACCATTTAAGTGTTACCGTGGCTCCTCCCTATCCCCTTGGCACGCCCCCAACAGCTCCTGCAGGCTTAATTGGAATGTAGACTTGTCCCATGCACAGATGCTGAGATCAGCTCTGTTTGCATTCTCCGAATCCAAACAACAGTTCAAGCTACCAGCTGGGAGTTAGGTGTCTGCCGCGACGGTAGAATAATCCCCTCCTGCGTGCAGGTACTCGGTCTCCCGTCAGGGCTCCCCCGAGTGAATGGCAGGCCGGACCGCCTGGCGTGGGGGGCTGACATATATTCTTGCACAAAATATATTTCTATTTAGATAAAATGATAGTACTTTCCTTTGACTGTATTTACCTTTAAATGTTTTGCAAATAATTTCATAACTCTCCCATCTCCTTTGAACGTTGCCATTGATCTAAGAAAGAACATACTGTTAATAAAAGAAAATTGAAAACATGAAAATGATGGAATTTTTGCACTAAAATTAGAACACCAAATTTATCCAACAGAAAATGAAAACAGAAAAATATATATAATTCCATTCTGTAACTTGAGTGTCATACTTATGGGTTTTTTTTTCAGCCAGGAGGAAAAACGAATATTTTTGTTCTGGATGCAAGAAGGTTGAGGTTCAGATCCTGAATTCATTCAAGTGGGAACTAAACCAAGACATCTTGCAGCTTTCAAGCTTTTCACACAGCCTACTGATAGCTAATCTCACCTGACTTGATTAAGATGCAATTGACTAGGATGCATTTATTATTTCATCCCATGAATTAATACTTTGCATATACAAATCATGTTTTATTTTTTAAAAATAGGCTGGGACTACACCAGTATCTTTCCCAAGTATTGTGAGACCAGGATTTAGAGAATGACCCCATCCTATTACCAATAGTGATTGAGAAAACTTGATACCCTAATTGTCCCTTTAGTTTGGTGGTTTGGGGTAAACCCTTAGAAAGGATTCTCCCCAATGGCAAACAATACCTGATGAGCTCCAGACACCGGAGAGCAGAGCTGCAAATTACCAGCATCACCACTGATGACTTCTCTGTGTGTTTTTTATGGAGCTTTGCCCATTTAGGACAGACTGAAACACGAAAAACAAAGATTCAATTAATAGAGTAATGTGACATATTAGAAAATAGTGAGGTAGTCTGCTAATGGAGCACAGCCTGTGTCTACACAAAGTAACTAATGTCCTAAATAAAGGAATCACATAACAGCTTTTTTATTTTAAAAGTAGATATACAGGGTGCACCAAAAGCCAGAAACCATAGGCCAATCACAATGTTTTATTAACTTTATTAACGTTACTGTACTTAGGAATGTTCAAATATCTTGTATCAATCAAGTAGGGAAATATTTAGAAGAAATTGGTCACACATTTGAACATTTAATGTTATTTATATAACATGTTTATAAGGCCTGTCTGACTTTTGATATATTCTGTAATATCAAATGAAAGCGCATCCTAAATAATAGCTTACCTTACTCTTGAACACATAAAAGAAAAAAAGGAAAATACTAGTGAATTAAACAAGAAAACAACTAGCAAAGTTAAGTATACATATTAATAGATAAGTTAAATAAAGATAGATGATTAATAGAAGATAATATTCTATAATATATTATAGAATATTCTATACTATGCAATACAACCCCAACTCTTCGAATTCATGTGGTTTACATTAAAAAGTGGCCAATGTGTAATCATGCAAGAAAAAAAGACACAAATATTGTTAGGGTAGAACATAACATGAAGCCCACAGAGCAAAGCTATAACATTGTCACAAAATTTCTAGAAAATACAAACTCTTGCTTAATCCTGCTAATACCTTGGCTATGATCAGATTGTTCATTGCATAAACTATTGTCAAATAATGCCAACTTTCTTAAGAGTAATTTCACCAGGCTATTTGACATTAATATAACTGTCTAAAATTCTGTAAGCAGTTTACATTTTTTTGTCACTGGGATGTGCCAAAAGAAGATAAAATACCCACGATACAAATTAAGTCAAACATATAATGTATAATAGCTTCCAACTGAAGACCTCTACAAATGTATTTGGATAAATCTGCTATTTAAATATGCAATAACTATTGTTAGGAATCTTTATTCTATTCTAACTTAGCGACATGAAATATAAAAATTGGAAGGAGTCTTAGAGAACATGTAGTCCCAGCCTGCAGTCCCAGCCTGCAGTCTTAAAGAGACATATCTTTCAAAGGTAGATCTCATCTTACAAGTGCAATTGAGCCCGGTATCTAGATTGTTAAGTGAAGCAGTCATTAAATAAGATATCATGTGACTACCCGTGTGACTACTTTGCTCAATGACTGCAATCCTGACACTCCTGGATATGGTCATAAGTGATCATATAGGCCATTAAGTGAATAGAGTAAGGACTGCGAGGTGACTCAGGGGAATGGAAGATACAATGCTCAGGAGTTGAAAATTCTCCCTGCCAAAATCCAAGCATTTTCAGAGATGTGCAGATGACCTGTGCTGGGCCTCCTAGGCTGTGATGGCGAACCTATGGCACGTGTGCCCAAAGTGGCACATGAAGCCATGTCTCTTGGCATGCACAGCCTTGCCTTTTTCTCTTCCGGGTGTGCATGCGCATGTGACAATCAGCTGTCCTTCATATTCACAGTGGGCGTGCATGTGCGCTAGAACCAGGAAGTTCGGCTTTTCTGAAGTGTGACGACATTTCCCCATGAACTTTTCAGCACTTTGTGCCAAAAAGGTTCGCCATCACTGTTCTAGGGCATCTCTCATCCACCTGGAGAACTTCATAGTGACTACTGTATCACACTGCCTCTTTGCTTTCTGCTTAGATTTTGTCTGATTGAGAATCAGGGACTTGTTGATTGAATTCAGCTCCCCTTCCATGCATGGAAGGCACCTGAATTCTTTCAGTGGGGTGGAGTAACAGAGCTGAAATTGTTAGCATGTGGGCTGTTTCTCCACCCCGCTGAAGGAATTCAACTCACCTCCATGTGTGGAAGGGAACTTTTACGGAGTGCAGAAATGGAGCTCAAACCATCAGGATAAAAGTTCCATTTCTGCATCCTGCAGGAAGAGAAGATGTCGTCTCTCCTCTGCATGTGGAAGGTTGCAGAAATAGTACTCAAAATTATCAGGGACTTAGCTCTGTTTCTCCAGCCAACTGAAGCCATAATAGATAATTATTGTTGCTTATTTGCTGTAACTAAAAACTTGGATGACATTTTCAGGCTTCCTCATTGACATTCTGAGGAGCTGACAGAGAAAATTGCAAATGGGAAGCACATGATTGTGGGCACTTAACAGATTGCCAAGCACCCAGATCGTGATCACATGACTATAAGAGAGTGCCAGCACCATGGTTTACAACAGCCATAAGTGTTCTTTGGTCTTGGAAAGGTTCCATAAAGCACGTTTCCAATATGTCGTAAACTTCAGACTAGCTATTTTCTAAAATGATACTCGCAATATAATCAACCTACGCCCCAAGCATTATTTAGTCAATAATGTTGCTAAAATGGCATCTCACTAACTTAATCAGTCTCAAAGATTTACCTCCAATATCATATAAACCAAATAGGTTTATATTATTATATTATTTCTTCTGCAAAAAAGAAGAATGGACAAGAATTTGAAGGCGTGATGTGGCTGAGAGTTACATAAGTCCCAAAGATCATCCATTTTATCATAAGAGCTTCTGTCTTGGACTCATCAGATTAAATGGAGACTGTTAAGTAAGGTAGTATTTTTTTTCTTTTCATTGTTGTTTTTATCATAATATTTACTATAAGCTTTCATGGATAATATTTGTTAGTATAACTGAAAATAAAGCAACAACAATGAAACTTGAAATATGTTTCAAAATTAAACATATTTAAGTCCATTTTTCAATTAAGCTTTAACAGAGGGATTATTAAAATTGTTCTCTCTATTTGGTTTTTGATGCTCAGAATTCAATTATATCCAATCTACATTATAAATATAGCACATGAAACTAGAAGCTACATTGTTCAATATAACAGAATAATACTTTATACTATAAAGTAAGCATTTTCTGAAAAAGCATAATATAAGCACACAATTAACATACATGTATATATTATCTCAAATTATTTTAAGCCTTTTAAGAAAAGAATGACATAGAATGACTTCTGACTAAATTATTACTTACTTTCTTTCAGGTAGGAAGAAAAGCTGTGGGTGAGGTCATTGGCAGGGAGGAAACAGGAATCTGAAACCATAATAGACAACTATTGTTGCTTAATGCTACAGCTAAGGCCTTGGATTAAATTTTCAGGAAGCTGCATTGTTGTAAGCCAGGCAAAATGCTCTTTCAGAAAGCAGAATTTTGCAAGCATCCAAAATTAATAACAAAAAGCTTTAAAGTGGATTAACCAAATGATGGGAACAATATCGAACCCAATTTAAATTCTTTTCAAAGTTATCTCTCCATTATCCTTAAAGATTTTTTTTTTACTGAAATGGATGTATTTGTGATGAGATACTTTGTAGCTTTCTCATTTAAAACCAGGGTTACCCATTATGACAAAATAGAATGTGCAAACTGTTAAATCACTAACCCAACCCAGAACACCAAATCCAAGGTGGATTTCAGACTATCATCAGCCCACAGCAACAATATTGCTATCTTGCTTCTCTTAATGGGATTTCTTTAGTGATTAAAAACAGTCCAAATACAAAAACCCACACATACATAGGATAAATATAAATAAAAGATGTAAACTTCCTTCTCCAATATCCATGAACAGGGCAGGGAAACTATATAATAAAACTTTACATGGAATCATTCTTAAATATTTCCAACAGCTTGTTATGTAATTTTGAGAATTATTTAGTGATACCAAAACTTTTTCTCATTTTCAATCAGGCAGTTCTGCGATTTATAAAGTATTTTGTTAAGTAAATAAAACAGGTATTCACATAGTGTTCTTCATCTACATTCCAGGACAATTTATTTAAAAACAGAATAAAAGTATTAATCCATGACATATATAGCAAGTCAGCATGGATAATAATAATGAATTATGCAAATATAAGGAAATCACAATCTTCTACTATAACTCTCTTGATAATCATATCTTTTTTCATTTAACAGCCAGATTTAACATTCTCTCTTCAGCACTCCTTCAGGTCAGGTATAAGAGAACATCAATAGCAGAACGGATATGTATATGTGGTAAAGGAGAAGTGGAAGATATCTCACATGTTTTATTGTACGGTGAGCTATACAGAGTTTATAGGTCAGCATATATTCTCCCCTTACTAGAGAGATTGCCAGGGAGGGCATACAATTTTTATGTAGGCTTTCTCCTCTAGCACTCAAACCCGTCTACAACGCATGCAGTGGCAAAATTCTATGTTGCTGCAATGTCCACAAGAAAAAAATTGGTTACAGAATTATAGCTGTCAACTTATACCAATTTTTGGGAGATATCTCTAAGAAATTTTGGAACATTATATTTACTCACATACTTATTGGCTTTTCACTCACATAAATTAGGGAGTGACCCAACAGTTTGAGAACATGTATTTTTTTAACAGGGATGTTATTATCCATTATTAATGTCAGCACTATTTTTTTAAAATATATTGTAAAAAGTGATGTCTATTGCTGGTCTATGACCGTAATAAAAATATATTCTATTCTATTCTATTCTATTCTTTATTCATATAGAAATACAAGTGAATCTTTCTTTCATTGATTATTACCATAAAATAATATCTTATTCAAAGATTTCTCACACTATAGGGTACTAAAAAAAGGCTAATAGAAATCAGGTATTGATTCTGTATAGCAATATAATAAGGCAATTGATTACAGGACACTGATTAAGACATTGTGTTACAGGGCATTAAGGTGCAAAACGATGGCACAAGTTAGCTGCATATCTTCTAGTTACAAAATAATTCTACTTTGCTTTGCTAATTTAAATTTTATCCTATGCCTCAGTTAAGTGATTCTAAAACTTTGATCAATTAAATCAATTAGATCAATTAAAAATATTTGAATGATCAATTAAAAAGCCCTTGTTTATATTTATATAGAAGTTTTTTTTTTAATTTGAAGTCCCGGCTGCAAGGCATATAGTAGTGAAAGTTTGTAGTATAAGTACGACTGCTTGTCTCCCTAAGAATCCTATATAAGTGACTGGTACAATTTTATGAGAGTCCGGAGTCCTTCGCGATTGGGCGGCATTAAAATGTGGTTAATTAAATTAAATTAAATGATTATGCTGATGATAAATGTTCTGTCAAAACCACATGGACATCATATTTCCATGTCCATATGGAGTTATTAGTTCACACAAACATCACATCTGAAACTGAAAAGTCTGGGAGTTATCAGCGGTATGTTTATTTGTTTTTGTCAAACAATACTCAGAAATCATACACAAATAATACTTCATAAAAAAACAGATGTTGTTACAAACTGTTTTTTTTTTAAAATAATATCCTGAGTAGTACTGCACTGATACTCTCCTTATTACCTGGCAGTTTCAATTCTTCTAGTTCAATCACAGAACGTTTAGCTCCAAAATGTTCATTGAGCATTTTTTGTACATCTGCTGGGACCCCTGGCTTTGGTACAGTTTCTGTGAGAAGATCAGAAATTTTCTTCTAAAAAAGGAAGGGAAAAAAATAGGCATAATCCATACGGTGTGGAGCTAATAAATACATTGCAATTTTTTTTCATTTGCTCTAAACTAGTCAATTATAGCCATTTATATCCTAATACATGAACAATGTTATAGCTTACAACAACAAAAATAGATTCACTCTTGACAAAATAACATGAATGACCTAATAAAAAACGAAACATAAACAATGCATATCTTCATGAATAGCCTGAAGAATGTGCAGCTTTCCCCTTTTCTTTCATTCACACAAATAAATGTTTTCTGAATTGCTTACCATGTTTCTGTTACCAGCCTTCCCGATTCTGCCATTATGCAGATGTGGGAAAGCACCTACTGGGAAAAATAATTATTTCCAGAAACCATAGTGGGAACTCCCTAAGAGTGTCAGGTGCTTCACAGCTGCAAAGTGCCTAGAGAAAAGCAGCTTTTAAAATTTTGTTAATGTAGACTTATAATAAAGTAGAAGTAGCTTGACTGGTCTGTTTTCTGTATTATATATCTAGAAAGGTTGACATCAATTTTGCAAGTTTGAAAATACAAAACGCCCCTTGTATCCTTTATGACCCGAGAAGTTCCTTCTGAGCTTCTTTCTTCAGCTATTATATCCACTCTTACCTGATGGTTCTCTAGGCAGCATCTCTTCACCCCCTTTCTCAAATCTTTCTCATATACCATGGATCGCTACTATCACTTGTGCGTCAATGAGAATGTTTAGGGACTGCTTCACAGATAACAGGATTGAGACTCTTGTTGGTTCTAGAAGTTGGATCTTCTAGAACAGTTGGGATTATTGCTTCTGCGCAGCTCTCCCTGCATCAGCTGCTGGATTCTCCCCGCATCAGCTGCTGGATTCTATTCCCAGGCTGAAGTTGTTGGTCTTTGGGGACTATAACCTGCCACCTACTGATGTTAAATCTGAAGTGGTTCTGGAATCCATTGTATTCATGGCAACCATGGACTTTTTCAAAATAATAGAGGACCCAATGTATACCTGGTGTATGTGTGTGTCACACATTAGATATGGTTTTTGCCTCAGGGCAGTTATAGCGCAATCTAGCATTGGAGACATTACCATCAGTCCATTACCATGAAGAGATCAGTCTTGAATTGTCCTCTGGCTCACCTAGATCACACAACATACAGGGAGCCATGGTCTGTTAGAGTGGCCTACTTAGACAACTAATGAATCCTACTGAATTCCATAGGGCATGTGGATTTTGTCTGAAGTTCTGTCTAGTTAAAGCTTTGGTTGCAGCCTGAATAGGCAAGTGACTGAGGCATTGAGCACCACTGAAGAAAGACAAAGAGTGAATCTGACCAAACATTAGACATATTAGGGCTTACCTCATAATGATAAGGGTGACAAAATATATTTGGCTGGGCAACACGTATTTGCCCTAAACGACTATTCTATGCTTTTTAATATTTACTCTTCTTAAATTACCAGGAGGAGGAAGATTTGTTGGATATATTCACTTCCTTGAGTTATTTGTAAAAATAATCAAGGTGAATATAAACAAATAATTGCAAGGCAAAATATTCCTACAATATTGTCTCTGCTTCCCATCATGCTTTTGGTCAAATGAAGCTTTCATACATCACTTTTTAGCAAGGGGATGAGGTGCACATTAGATTTCCATGCATTGAGTCATGTTATGGTCAGTAGTGCAACCAATTTCCAAGTATGCAAATTAGGAAGTCTAATCTAGAGACCTCATTTTAAACCAACACAATGTTGTCTGTATCCTACCACCTGGGAATACATGTAGTGATAAATATATCAGCCATCCTTGAGATGCTTTTTACTAAGAATGGCAAAATATGACTAATATAAAAATAATATATTTGTTTTTATATTAGATACACAAATTTACATACAGATTACATTCTAAATTCAGTTACATTTAGAATAGGATTTTTGGATAGAGTATTTTAGATTAGATTACAATTGTATTTTTCCTTGAACTGGAGGAAGAATGAAAAGTGACAGAAAAAATATAAATTATATTGAGACTAGTTAATATATCATTTATGATTTTAAACAATCATTATTATGAAATAAAAAATCTGTATAATTTTAAATATTCATTCAAAATATTAATGAAGAATTACCTTTCTTTTTCTCTTTGGCTTCATTTCAATTTCTTTTTCATCCTTAGATTTTGCTTTCTCAACATTGAGGAAGCATTCTGTAGCCTGGAAGAAAGAAAAAATAAAAATTATGAGCTGGCACTTGGAAGAACTTTAAAATACAAAAATAATGATATGGCTTGTACATGGCAGCCAAGACTTTACAGGAAATGAGAATTTTTGAAATCTTGTTATTTTTCTATTAAGGTCAACAGAACAGCAGAAACTATTCCATTATAATATAAATGAAAAAAGGGAAGCAGGCAGATAAAAAAATTGGACAAAAACAGTATAGTCATAAAATATTATATATTTTATGACTGAATAAAATCAGTTAAGAGGAAGTTTTAAATATTACACTTAAAAAATCTGAAAGGGATATTTTAATGGCATAAAGGTCTTAATTTTTTGTTGATATTGATCTCTATCCTAAAAGAGAGATGGTTTTAATATGGATCTTGAATTTTGCCTACTGTCTTGCCTATTGTATAACTTAACCGTAATGCAAAGTTGATATTTGTATTATAATGGCATAATTATTTCCCAAATATTAGAGCTCATAATAAGGTAGATCTCTTTTCTGCATTTATCAATGGTCATTTGAGCAAGATGGTCAGATAATCTTTTATGCACTGAAAAAGTCTTGAAAGTGAACTGGGAGTTCGCAGGTCTTGTCCTTCCTTCAAATATACTTTGCAAAGATACCATCCATGTTCATGTATTTAGCAAGAATGAGAAGCGACTATATGCCTGGACATTTTCCATATGGAAACAGATACTTAGTTGAATGATGCATAAATATTGAAGAGTCCTTGCTCCATGTTTGGCAGAGATAATGGGTTACTTGCTGCATTGGTCTTCTTATGTAACTCTAACATACCCCTTGAACCTTAAACTGAGATATTCAGGCATTTCAATAGTATACTTTTCATTCAGAGAACAATGACTTGATTAAATGTTTTTTATTGTGCACTAGATTGCCTTCTATTAGTGAAAATAAAATCAACCAACCTTTTTTCTTTTCTTTGAAGAAACAAGAGTTGAACTTGAAGTCTGCTGAACTGTTTCACTTGTATTAGCACATTCTTCCTCATTATCTGAAAGGGCTAAAGATAAAAGCATATTTCAAAACTGGTTCAACAGGTTCATTCTATTGTTCTCTTATCAAACTTTGAGTTCATTAAACTTGGCAACTTGATTAGGTAATTATTAATATGGAAGAAAAACAGACTACTAAGATTGTTAAAAGACAGCACTTTTAACAAATTTTATTGAAGTATTCTCTGAATAAATAAAAATGGAAATGTTTACAAGAGAAGAAAAACTTTTGAAAAATAAGCCAATAATGCTTGCCACAATACTTAATCGTTTCAAGATTCACTGAATGTTGACCACAAAGGAATGGGAACAGATAGAGGAAAAAACGAAAGGATATGGGAGATGGAGCACAATCATGTGATCACAAGATGCTACAATCACATGGGTCAGTTTCTAAGTGCCTAAAATGCAGTCACGTATCCTGGGGTTGGTGTAGCAATTAACAATGGTGTAGTTTGCAGGCCATAAAGCACCTTTTTCTAAGGCTGTCTTAACTCCGTCCAGTGTTAAACAATTGAACATAAGTTGAGGACTACCTGTAAAAAGGACTGCAAAATATTTACAAAATATAAGTCATAAATAAAAAGAAAGGTTGTGTTTATATTTTTTAAAAACTATTCTCTTTTTTTTCAATTGCCCAGATAGAGACATTTGTTTTAAATCACCTTGGAAACAATACATTGTGGCAGCTGTCTTCTTTGCTGACTTGCTTATATTCTTTAGTAAAGGTAAAGGTTCCCCTCGCACATATGTGCTAGTCCGTTCCCGACTCTAGGGGGCAGTGCTCATCTCCATTTCAAAGCCGAAGAGCCAGCTTTGTCCGAAAACGTCTCCATGGTCACGTGATTAAATGCCAAAGGCTCTTGGGACGCTGTTACCTTCCCAACAAAGGTGGTCCCTATTTTTCTACTTGCATTTTTTAACATGCTTTCCAATTGCTAGGTTGGCAGAAGCTGGGACAAATGACAGGAGATCACTCTGTTATGCGGCACTAGGGATTTGAACTGCCGACCTTTCTGATCGACAAGCTCAGCATCTTAGCCACTGAGCCACCATGTCCCCTTTTATATTCAGTGCACTATTGCAAATAATAAAATTAATCCTAATTCATTAAATTCTAATATCCTACAGATTTTCAATAGATTGCAGTATTCTTTCCCAAGCACTGAAAGACATTTGCACTGCTCTGTTCATATGCTGAGTCAACTACTAACCAAAATAGCTATTGCATACTGTAACCGAGGAAACATCCATAGCTTGTAGCTTGCCAAGAAAATCTAACTGCTAACTTTAACATGTCTTCATAGATCTTGACTTGGCAGGACCAGAAAATGGAAAGGGACACAGATCCAAAGCCAAATAATAAATAGTCTCTCCTCCTATATACACTTGTACGTACTTGCTCAAGAACTCTGAAAGGAGATGAATAACTTTTATGACAGAATTTTAAGAACAATGCACCACCTGTCAATTGCTTATCTTCCCACCAGGCAGGAAAGCACATAAATAAGCTCTACTCTTTCATCCTGGAAATGCCACAATTGCTCAGACAAGCAAGAGGTCCCTTAAAGGTAAAGTAAAAGTTTCTGCTGTCCAGCTGTGACTGACTCCAGAGGCAGTGTTCATCTCTGTTTCTTAGCCAAGAAAGCCAGCATTGTCTGAAGACACTTCCATGGTCATGTGGCCAGAATAACTATACACCAAGTGCACAGATTGCTGATACCTTCCCACTGAAGTGGTATCTATTTTTCTACTCACATTTTAACGCTTTCAAACTGAAAAACTGGCAGGAACTGTAGCAGGTAATGGGAGCTCACCCCATCACATGGCGCATAGATCTCAAACCCAAGCTATAAGCTTTCAGGTTGACAAGCTCAGGGTGTTTAACTATTGAGTTTTAGTAATATGTAAATATTGTTGGTGAAAATGACCACTACTACTGAACCATTACAATACACTTAAGTCTCATTTAAGAACAAATCTCTGGTCTAAATTTCCAATTTTAATTAATTAGTAGGAAATCCCAATTGGTTATAGTGATTTAATAAAACATAGCAGCCTCCAACATTGGCTTTCAATCTAATACTGCATATGTGACACGACAGAGAAATAATACTCAATGAATATGATGAAGTAGCTTGTACTTTGGCAGAAATGAGAATATAACAGACCATTAATATGACTTTTAATAAATTGTAGTTACCTATTGCCCTAGTTACTAGAATTATTGTTCTGCCTGCTTCACCTTGGAATTCAGGATTGCAGGTAGTTTCACAATTTAAACACTGATCAATATGACATCCTGTGCTGGCAAGAAAAGACCTTGGAAACATACATATGCACACACATACCCTATTTCATTTGTTTATAGTAAACACAGTGTACCCTATCTTTTTCAGGACCATAAAATCATCTTATATATCTGAATATGTATAGTACTCTATTCTGAGTTGCCCAACTGATGATTGTAGATTATCAATGATTATCCTTATACCCGAACATTATATACATATCACACACACACCATAAATCTTTATTTACAATGCTAATGCTTCAAATTATATGTTACCTAAGGGTACTACAAAAAAGGTCATTCAAACTTTAATTGATTTACATACACATATATAATTTCAAAACTCATAGATTCATTTCCTTTCTTTCCCATGTTAATTAACAACTTTGTTACATTCTTGTAAAACTAATAGTTTAAAAAAAACCACCATTCAATCATATATTCTAATGCTATTCTAATGCTTTTGCTATTCTGATACTATAAGCAAGAAAATATATCAAAGCCAAAACTGTTTTGAGGTACAAAACCAATTTTGATAAAGAGGCAAAAAATCTAAAATTGAAACAAATTAATAAAGTACTTTTCCAATTTCTATATTGCTGTAAAGTATTTGATTATGGAATTTTAAGTTGTTATTTGTTATTCAAACTAGCTCCCAAAAGATAAATCAGTACAATACACAACCCTGGTGGTACAGTGGTTAAAGTGCCGTTCTCTGTTCACAGCCAGGAGTTTGATCTGATGGGCCTCAAGATTGACTCAGCCTTCCATCCTTCAAAGATTGGTAAAATGAGGGTCCAGCTTGTTGGGGACAATGCAAATAATAATGCTTCTACAATATAAACTGCATTGTAAAGTGCTATGGGGTGGTATATAAGCCTAAATTCTATTTTTATTGCCATCTGTAATGTAAGGATTATTCACAGATAACACAACAATGAAACAGATGAGTAATCTTACTAGCATTTTTTGTTTAAAATATTGCAATGTCTCTGCCATTTCTCAATGGAATAATATATCTTTTTCTTAAAGTTGTCATATCCTACCTACCAAATCTTCCTTCTCTTTATTCAACAGCAGATGTTTTGTCTCCTAAATATAATTTGCTTTGCAAGTTCAGTCAAGTTTCTTCTCCATTTTTAATTGCTACAATTCTCAGTTAATTCCAAATGGCATCTCATCAGCTCAGAAATGTTGCAAATTAACATGATTGTTGTTAAAGGAGAACATTTTACAAACAGATGCCAACTACTCTAAATTTAATATTTCCTAGTTACACTAAAAACTGGATGGAAAAATACTCAGGAGCAGCTGAAATTTCAAAGGAGCAGAGACTGATTAAGTCTGTCTACATAGCCTGAATTCCATCTTAAATCTCACATGCACTGCAGACTTTTGGGCTCCCCATGTCAGCAATTTTCCCCCTTTCCAGTCTAGTTCTACTTAATCAGCAGCCTACAGAAAAGTATGGAAGAAGCAGAATGTTTGTTCATTTACTTTGAGTCTTTTTTGTATATTTACAGTTATACTCAATAATTTGGGAATTTTTTCTCTTATTGGACCACCATTGTTACTTATGCTGCATCATTTTCTATTTTAAATAGCAAGCAATTTGCTATTATTAATACATAGCTTTTTTTTAAAAAATACTCTGTACTTAATCAGTTAAAGAAATGTTGAGAAACTAAAATTTTAAACTTACCTAAACCCACTTTGTAGTTTTCCCCAGTTTATGCCTGACATATTAAACTACAGTTCCAGAATTCTCGGTTGATATGATTGGTGCTGTGCTTCTGTGGACTTATATTTACAAAATGTATCCTATACCTGAAACTGAATTCTGGGAACTAATAGTGTAGTTCCAAAACACACCCCTATTAAGTCAAATCACATTGTTCAAATGATCTTTCTAAAAAATGATGTTCTCCTTTCAAATCCTTTAAACAATGCGGTCATAGTTTCTCAATGAGTCATTTTTTAACAGATAGGACATTTATTGTCAACAAATGCAGCACAATATTTTATAAACTGTAGTACAAATTTGCTTATTGTTACTACGTAAAATGCCTGGCATACTCCAGTTGGAAAGCTTTTTCTTCTATCCAGGCTTAATAAAGCTACAGAACCAAAAGAGAAGGAAAGCTAAAGACAATAATCCTTCAAGCATCTCTGTACTGGAAACAACACACAGAGATAAAAATGACACAGGATGCAATTGTAACATGGAGAGTGCTCATACCTATATTTACTTGCAGCAAGCAAACGTTTACAGCTTGCATTTTGTTCTATTCCTGCTGCAAAGAATGACAGGAGAAGAGGTCAGCTTTCCAGCAAAGTTGCTTCTCTCAAGTACTTGAAGAGCAAAGCAGGGAAAAGGGTTGGTTTATATTTAGAGTTTCATTTAAATTAGTTCCAGGATTTATGTATCTCTTCCTTAAAGTGCTATCTTAGATCCTTGAATTTAACACTACTGCATCTGTGGCTCAAAATACAAATGGGGAATGAAGCATTTCATAACAAGCTGCTCTCGAGTATTTGAAATAGGCGTTCTTGGGTGCTCATAAAGGAAAAAAAAACATTAAAGTTTACATCTATAAAGACAAAAGACTCCCTTTTGGCTCACCAGGATTTAAATATGCAGAAAAAGAAATTACCCAGAAGGCTGTCTTCTTAAAAATGGTAAGCTTTTATATTCCTATATGATACCTTTGTGAT